TCTTTACAAGGAATAAGATAGGTACATTGGCTATGCCAACTTTGCACCTGAAGAAGTGGGAGTGACAATTTGGCATTAGATGTGAGACTGAGCATTTCCTTGATGTTTTTACTCTGGGCTTTTCAAGTCTGATAGTCAACTTTAAGCTGGGGCTTGGTGCCTGTAGCTCAAGTGGTTGGGGCACCAGCTACGTACACCAGAGCTGGCGGGTTCGAATCTGGCCTGGGCCTGCCAAATAACAATGACAACTACAACCAATAGCCAGGCATTGTGTGGCTGGGGCCTGTAGTCCCAGCTGCTTGGGAGGTAGAGGCAAGAGAATAGCTTAAGCCCAGGAGCTGGAGGTTGCTGTGAGCTGTGATGATACCGCACTCTACCCAGGGCAACGGCTTGAGGCTCTGTCTCAAAAAAAAAAAAAAAAAAAGACATCAAGATATAAAAATATAACTTCTGAACTGTCTGAACTGGGAAAGGCTACTTGCAACTCATATAACCAATAAAAGATTAGTATCCTGGATACATGGAGAATTCCTATAAATCAATAAAGAAAGGAAGGGGGCGGCACCTGTGGCTCAAAGGAGTAGGGTGCTGGCCCCATATACCTGAGGTGGTGGGTTCAAACCCAGCCCTGACCAAAAACTGCAAAAAGAAAAAAAAAAAGAAAGGAAGGGAAGGAGACAGAGATGAACAGAAAATGAACAAAAGATACAAACAAGCGTTTTATAGAAGAGAAAACACAAATGGCCAATGATCCATGAAAAGATATCCAAGCTCATTAGTAGTTGGGGGAATGCAAATTTAGAACACAGCATGAAACCATTCTATCCACTTGACTAGCAAAAGTAAAGAAATCGGATAGTACCAAGTTGGTGCAGCTATGTATAAGGGACTCTAATACACTGCTTCTGTATCAGTTGTAGCCACTTTGGAAAACCATTTGGTGCTATTTTGTGAAGTTAAACATTCACATACCCTGTGACATAGTAAATATATCTATAGATAGATGGGTCAGTACTCTAGAGAAATCCTTAAATATAAATACCAAGTTTGCTCAAAATAGAAAACAAAAAACAAAAAAAATTTTAAGTAATTGAAATGTTCACCAATAGGAAATAAAATGTTCTATGTAGATCAACATGGATGAATCTTAGAAACATACTGAGTGAAAATAACTAAGTCAGAGGAGACTGAAGGCAATACCTGCCATTTTTATAAAAAACCCAAAGCAGGTAAAGAAAAATAATACTTTTTAGAATGCAAATACTTTTGCTGACAAAAGACAAGTTCTGGCAAAAGTCTCTCTGTTGGAGGAGCCAGATGACGGGAAAGGAACACAAGTCCCTGGGACGGGATAGACCATGTTCTAGTCACTGCCCAGGCTTGATGGTGGGTTCACGTAGTTCACTTTATTGCACACCTTAATCTACCCCAGCTTTCTCAGTCATGACCCTGCTCACTTTTGGGGCTAGATCAGCTCTTGTTGCTGGGGGCCAGGCTTTGCACTGTAGGGTAATTAGTGGCATCCCTGGTCTCTACCCACTAGACACCATAGCACCCCTGAGCCCCATCCAGCTGAGACAACAAAAATTGTTACCAAATATTGTCAAATGTCCCCTGGCGAGCAAAATTGCCCCTGGTTGCAAATCACTAATCTTTATACATGTTCTATGTATTTTGAATGTGTTAAATATTCTATAATAAAGCAAAGTTTAAAACTGATGGGTGGAAGTTTTACTCTGTCTGTGAAACACAACCAGAAAGCTATCATTAAGAGCTGAGTAAGCCAGAACCTACAGAAGGCCTTTGAAGTGACAGTGCTGAGCAGTGCAAGCTGACAGTTTCAGGAGGGTTTTGACTAACAGACGATGTTTCCAGAAATGGTGCCAGGTGACAGAAATCAATGACACTAGATACTGGAGGAAAATTTCTGCAACCTTTGTCAATTCTTTGGGAAATTGAAAAGCTTAGTTTAGCCTTTTAGAACACTAATTAAAAAAAAAAATCTATTATTGATTTTTGGAAACAGGACTTTGTATTTTTATATAAACCCTTTCTTCTAAGGCACTGAGAGCACTCCATATATTTTATTACCTTTGAGAAGCTGGGTATGTCTCAAGAGTCCCCATACATCTGACTGTGGACCCCAAATGACTGGGAAGTCTCCAGGAATAAGATCCAGAGACTGTGACATTGATGTTTTAGGATGACGAGTGCCTGAGGTCCCATGCTCACTACTGCACCCGGCTAACCCAACCACCTCCCTGACCACATGGCTCTATTTGATAGCACCTGTTTGGCTCTTATGCTCACATTACAGTTCCACTTGACCCCAGATAGGGAAAATTTATTACCCTCATTTAAAAAAAGAAACTAGACACAAAGAGGATACATGACTTTTTCAAGATAACAGAATCCAGAGTACTTAATTAGAAATGGAAATGGCATGAAAATCAAGTCTCCTGAATCTTTGCCATTAGACTTTTTTACCAGGCTCCGAACTGTGTTTTCACAGACATGTGTGTCTCTGTGTGTGTCCATCTATCTGTCTGTAGTTTAGGTGGATATGCGTTTCTCAGAGGACAAGACGTCCAGGAGGACAAAAGGCGAAGGACTGAAGAGAGGAGCCAGGGGGACGGGCACGGTAGAAAGAGCAACCGATTCAGCAGATGCCTTGCCAAGACCTCACTGGGTCTCAGTTTCTTTAACTGTAAAATTTTATAGACTTATAACAAAAATCAAATGTGCATTTGAAGGTACAGTCTGTTTTCATACTGTACTTTCAATGCAGTGATTGTCATAAGAATTATTATTAAAAATACAGTATAGATAATAAAGCCACCCTCACCAGTAGGATGACTCACATTTTCTTCATTTTCTTGGCACTCACTCTTACCATATGTCCAGCTCAGAGGAATATTCAGTGGCTCCCAGCAAAGCATCAGGAGGCCGGTACCAGAGGGTCACGACTTCTGAAGAGTATGTCTGGCTAGGAATGGACTTGGCTCGAGCAAGACCTGACCAAAGAGAAAAAGTATAGAACTCACTGTCCTGGGTCTTCCTGAGCAGTAGTACAGCCACTCTGATTTCTGCAGTCCAGGAACCTCCAGTGTAGTAGATAAATGGTAGGGACTGCTAAGGGACACGTAGTTGGTTTGGTAAGACCCTAGGTGAGTTTCTCTCAAGTGCTCCTTTGCACAATGAAAGTACTTTTGTCAGTCAGCTGTTATCTCACAGAATTGCAAGATCTTTTGCTGGAAAAACTAAGAGAAGAGTTCGCTCTTATGGAGAATTGATAAATGAACATCTGTTAAATGCTTACATGTCAGGATGCAAGCTACTGTCTTAGAATAAAGTGCTGCAGCTGTTTACCACCACGTGGTATCTGCTAAGCAGAGAAGAGTGGTTCCTCAGCTTATGTAGAGACAACTTTTCTTTTCTTTTTTTGAGACAGTCTCACTATGTCATCCTCGGCAGAGTGCCGTAGCATCACAACTCACAGCAACCTCAAATTCTTGGGCTTAAGAGATTCTCTTGCCTCAGCCTCCCAACTAGCCGCAATGTTTCACTAATTTTTTTTGTTGTTGCAGTTGTCATTGTTGTTTACCTGGCCCAGACAGGTTTGAACCCACCAGCCTCGGTGCATGCGGTTGGCACCATAACCACCGTGCTACAGGCGCTGAGCTGGAGACAACTTTTCAACAAATATTTATTGAGCACCTCCTATGGCACCAGGCACTAGGGATACAACAATAAGCAAAAACAGATCTAGGTTGCTCTCGTAATGTTTATAATCTAGTGGAGGGGACAAAATCATCATGTACACATGCACTTAGATGCACATGTATATGTGTATTTATTTGCATGTGTATGTGTGTAGGTATATGTGTATTTATGTTTGAATATAGTTTTAAACTGTTACAAGTGATAAAATGGAAAGTCACAAGGATACTTAAGAGAAACTCTGATAGGAAAAAAAACTTCAGGTACCCATATCATATAATCACACTTATATAGATACTTAGGTGAGTAGGAGCAGGTGTCTGGAGTTTCCCTTCCAGAGCAGGAGTCTATACTCCAGTCTAGGGTTAACCACTTCATCACCCTGGAGAAACCTGGATCAGTTCTGATGGAATTTGTATACCCACTCAGATTTAGAGAAACCTATTAAGTACAGTTCACTCTACAAATGTCTCTATATAAAAAATGGCTGTGGGGTAGTAGGGTTGTCCAATTCGGGGCACCTGTCTAGATTATAGGTTGATAGCATTCTAAGAAGCTACCAATCCCTCCCTGTTTCTTGCTTCACATTTCCTCTATGGTAGTTTGATACCCTCACAATGTATCATGTTCTTGGTCCTTCAGTTTTCAAAGGCCTGGTCAACACTTTAAACAAGTGCACACAAAGGCATCACTGTTCACAGCCCAGAATGAGACCCAAGGGGCAACTTACCAAAATCAGCCAGTTTGAGCTCTCCCAGGTGACTGATGAGTAAGTTCTGAGGTTTCAGGTCCCTGTGAAGAACGTGCTGGTGGTGGATGTATGCCAGGCCCCGCAGAAGTTGAAACATGAAAAGCTGGAAGCAATGAACAGTATAGCTAAGAGATTTGAACCACTGTGTGTTGATTTGTCTTCTAAATCAAAAACAGTCACCTGAAAGAATATAGCAAAAATATCTCTGGAGAGACAGAAAAAAAGGAAAAAGAAGAAGAAGAAGAAGAGGAGGAGGAGGAGGAAGAAGAAGATTTTACATTCAAAAGGGGAAAAAAGGACAAGGAAAGTCAGGTAACTAGACTATATTATAAACAAAGGGATCCTGGCTTTTCCTGACATCTCATTTCTTTAATACTGAAGAAATTAGCCTTCCTTAAAGATCTAAAGTGAAACTTTGAAGTTTTCTTCAGAACATTGTTTATTGATCTAGATGTGAAAGATTTAATTTCTTTCCCCACCGATGAACTTGGCATATGAGATCAAAGTTGACCTGGAAATGATATTCTAAAGTTTACAAGTGCTTAAATTTTGCAGGATCTCTGATATGAAAACCTTTTAAAAACACAACATGAGAAGACCAGACTGAGAAATATACCCTTAGGTGATATTAGGGAATAAAAGAATCATTATCTTTTTAAACTTATTTTTAAAGTCTTAAATGCAAAGTTGAAAACAAGGGAAATACAGAGTACAGATTAAGAGAGACCAAAAGAAATTAGACCCCCCTCCATGCATACACAAAAAAATAAATCAAAAGAGAATAAGGAATAAATAGTAGGGAGAAAAAAAAAGAGAAAGGGTAGCAGTGGTGATAGGTGGGGGAAACACCAGAAAAATACATTCTGCCATCCAATTTTACAATGTTTTATGTGGTTGTGAAGCACAGAAACCAAAGACATTACTACATTCCTACCAATACAGAGGCTAAGGAGAAAAAAGAATGCTTAGTATTCCAAGTGTCTCTTGCTGTTTTCCACTACCACGCAATTGAGAATTCAAACACCAACATTACAGAGTGCTTACAAAGTCCTGTGCCAACGGAGAACGGATTCTGGCAGTTTAGAAAGGAAAAGACCAGTCCCAGCATTCCTGGGGATGCAGGCAAAATGGCAGACAGAGAATGTTGAGAAAATTATTTAATGGCATCTTAGAAACTAAGAACTTACAATGCTAGAACCAGAACTGACCTAATAATGATTTAGAGACATTGGAGCCATGTTAATGAACAGCATGGCCCAATCAAAATAGGAGCCTGGGGAACTGATCAAGAAGACCCTGACCAGCACTTTACTCTCTCTTCCGACAAGCTGCTCAACTCTCTTGGCCAACTGTCTTTTCATCTCTGAAATTCCAACTCTGCATCAATCTAGCTGACTACTCTCTCTGCTCCTCTATTCAAAATGCTAAACACTGCCATAAAAAAAAAAAAAATCCCCAAATCAGGTAATTGAATGGTTACACCTTTAACTAGGATCCTTAACACACTACTGGACATTCCCGCTTGGTTTCCCTAATTACTTCTCTATCCCTGTCTCCATACCGCTATTTTAACATTTTTTTCACTCTTCTCAACTCCTTGTCCTCAAAGATTCCATTCCAAACCTCCAAGACTAGGTGAGGCTCCCTTACTAGTTGTTCTCATGGTATTCCTAGTTACCATGGCCAAAGGCCTTAGCTTTTCACTGCCTATTTAAGATTATGTATCTTACTGCACTTTAAGCTCACTGAAAATAAGAAACACAACTTATTCATTATCGAAACCCCACAACTTAATTAGCACTAAGTCCTCAACAAATATTTTTTAAATAAATGCATAAATGAATACATAATTAAATATTGGTTCAATGAGTACACATATAATGTATAAATTTCATTTGGTTAAGAGCCAATCAATTAATTAATGCCAATAAAACCTTTAGGGAATGAAAACGATGAAATATAAATGGTTTCTAAAATTTATAACAGATGTAGAATTATAGCTAGTTAAGAGTTTAAGTTATTATTTCTATTCTAATGACTGGAAAAATGGAAATTAGTCTCACATACAGGATAGTATTTGCTAGAATAGGCAATGCAAACTTTATCATAGTAATAAAGTAATCTGCCAGAAAGAAGGTATTTATTTTATGATTATTTTACGATTTTTTTCCCTTTTAATGTAATTCTCCTTAATTGGCTTATACTTCTAAAGATGCATCCACATGATGGCAATGACTGACAGGGTTAAGCTGCCTAGAAAAGAACTAGACATCGTTCAGTGTCTTCACGGGCAATTCCTTCCCTCCTTCCCTCCGTTCCTCCCTCCCTCCCTCCCTCCCTTCCTTTCTCTCCCTTTCTTTCTTTCTCTCTCTCTCCATTCCCCTTCCCTTCCCTCCCCTCCCCTTCCCTTTTTCCTTTCCTTTTCTTTCCTTTCCCCTTTCTCCTTTCCTTCCCTTTTCCTTTCCTTTCCCCTTTCTCTTCCTCTAGAATATCAGCAATATCCATCCTCTTAATGTAGTTTCATGGGACTTTGTTTCATAGTCTGTTTCAGGATTTTTGTTCCTCCTTCTGTGGGCAAGGCAGAAGAGGGGCCGTGACCCTCGTGTACTCACTCTGACATTGTGAGGATGAAGCCCTCCGGGATGCTGAGACATATACTGGGCCAGGTCTGTGTGCTAAACCAAACAGCAGGGAAAGAGAGGAAAGTGAATTTAGTTTGCTTGGATAGTATCCTAAGGCAGACCATAGACTCCACTGTCAGAAGGTATTACAAAGTTCACAATTTTTGAGAATAAGGTGCAAAAGGATTTTCTGAGACCCCACTGTTAAAGTCAAACACAGTGTATCTTTCTAACTGGCTGCTCTTAGAAAGAAGCTTGTTTCTCGGCCTTGCTCAGCACAGAGATGCTCATTTTAAATGACTGGCACGGAACACAAGGACACAGGAATTTTTCACCTCCAAGTGTCCTTGGAGGCAAGTCAAGTACACATACCTTATGCTTTCTGTCGGTTTATTTGAATATTTTTTCCTGCCAAAATTACAAAATGAGTTATTCTTTAGTAATCTTATACATAATTTTAAAATATCTTGTGATTTATATATTTAAATTGCAAATATATAAATCACAAGTATAAATATTTGTCAATGCAAAAATGTTGGGGTCTGCTCAGATAGAGATTAAAAGTGGTTAAAAATAAGTGCAAAATTTTTATTGAGGAGGCAAAGTCAAAAGACTTATTTATTATGGCCGATGATGGGGAAAATAGTATGTAAAGAAGCAGGACTAAAGATGGATATAAGAACCATAAGGCTCTACTAATCACAATAAGGAAAATTTCCATGATACCTTCCACATTGTAATGAAAGTTTTATCATGCCATAAAATATTAACAGATTCATTATATAAGCACCAGGCTTTTTCCTCATATGTTGTAAAATGCTGGAACAACTTACCATGTATTCAAAAACAAACGTCAGTGTCTCTTTGGTATGGATTATGTCATGTAGGAGCACGATGTTGGCATGTTTCAAACCCTTCAGGAGAGAAGCTAGAAAAATTAAACAAAATGTTAAATTAGTTATTGATAATGAAAATGCTGCTTTAAAGATATCAGGAAGAACTTATTTCTTAAAACCATTTTATATCAAGCATTCTGCTTTTTTTACTGCCAGAAATGAAATCTCTTGTTGAGAGAGAATATTTAAAATTACAAAAGACCTTCATTACTTTTTTTTAAAGGCAAACCATTGCATTTATACAACTTACTGTTCCTACAGACTAGAGAGGTTGCAAAAAATGTTTCCATTTACCTAATCAATTTCATCAGAGCACTCAGAGCACTTTGTGAATGCTCTCCTCTGGGAACCTCATCATCCATGCTTCAGAGCTACAGGAGAGGAGGCCTGGAGACATAAAGGCCATTGCAAGAGCAGGAAATGGAGTGTTCTACCTTTTAGAGCAGGACTTGGCAACATGTGACCAGTCTCCAAAGTTCCAAGTCTCACAAAGGGCCAACAGAGCTGGTGGATGTGATTGGTAGGGGGCAGGGATAAGAGCATAGGGTGAGGAATTATTGAACATCAATAGAAAGTAGAGAAGATTTCTTATGATAGTGTTGTAAAACTCTATAGGAAAATAAGGCAAATTTGAAAAGAGGAGAGGACCACATTTAGGAAGCCCGGGGAGGCTGAGGGCCCTTATCTCCTCACTGAGAGGTTATTGGCCAGAAGTGACAGGGAGGGGGTTTAAAAGGCTGTCTTTGATGGTGTCAGAGGTAGGAGGACCCCTGGCTTCAGGAGGACAGAAACCAAAACAAGGCATAATAAGGAGATGATGCTTTTCAGCATAGGGCATTCCTGCATGAAGGATAGCATCTTTTTAAACTTAAAAGATCAGTTAATCAGCAGCTGCAGGAAAAACAAAATAAAATAAAACTTAAAGGAAGGGAAAAGTTAAATATAAAAACTCAAACCAGTGTTCTGTAGGGTATGCTTGCATAACATGAGTCTCCTGCACCAATTCCATAGGATTAAAAACAAACTCAAATACTCCCTTAAATTTGGGAAGACAATTATTTCCTTCAAGAATCTCAATCCATTTTAATGGATCTCTGTTGTTCTGCCTTCTTGACAACCATTCAGTCTTCCACTGGGGACTCTTCTATTTTCCTCTGGGGAACCAATACACACTATCCTGGAAGGGCTGAACCCACCTCTGCCCAAGAGTGAGCATGTGACCCAAGACTGGCCAATCAGAGTACAATGTCCCCCCACCCCCCAGTAATTGGTTCAGAGACAGACACAAAACCCAAGCCTGGGAAAGCTCACATTGTCAGTCCCATTAGAAAAAAGCCCTCTAGATGGCTGAGGCAGGATCCTTTTAGCTCAGGAGTTTGAGACCACCCTGAGCAAAAGAAAGACCTCATATCTCCTAAAAATAAGCTGGGTGTTGTGGATGGTGTCTGTAGTCCCAGCCATTTGGAAGGCTGAGGCAGAAGGATCACTTGAACCCAGGAGTTTGAGGTTGCTGTGAGCTAGGTAGTGCCACAGCCCTTCCTAGGGTAACAGAGTGAGATTCTGTTGAAAGAAGAAAGGAAAAGAAGAGAAAAAAGAAGAGAAGGGAAGGGAAGGAGGAAGGAAGAGAAAGAAAGAGAGAGAGAGAAAGAAAGGGAAAGAGAAAGAAAGAATGAGAGAAAGAAAGAGAGAGAGAGAAAGGGAAAGAGAAAGAAAGAATGAAAGAAAGAAAGGAAGGAAGAAAGAAAGGTAAAACGATACTTTCTTTTCTTTTTTTCCTGTCAAGGCTAAATTTGTGGGATTTAGCTAGGAGTTTCTGGGGTCAGACTAAGACTACCGTCAGAATACCAACACCTGGTGACAGCATGCCTGCAAGTAAAACAAAGGCAGTGGAAACCAGTGTAGGGTGGCATTGCTTATGCCTGCAAACTATAGGTATCAGATCTGTGAACCAGTGAATTTCCCTCTTAGGTAAGTTTGAACTGACCCACCATCAAAGGAATTCTGTTAACCCTACTTTGCTCTGATGACTAATGCTTTAATTTTTACTTTTTGCCTCCAAAGTCCTTATGGACTAAAGTTGTTACTTCACTTTTTACAAATGCTTTGCTTTAGAAATGAAATAAACAGTTTCACAAGCATCTGTTTAATCGCCCTAGTCTCAGACTGAAGGCTGCCCAGGAATAGAGGGACTGACTTTCCCTCTTTCTGAGATGCCGCCACACCACCCAGTACAACACTCAGCCAAAAGTAAGCACTTAATTTATTAGACGTATTTATTGAGTGTCTTAAGGGAGAACTGTGTGTGGAGCCAGAAGCCCTAATATGAATCCTGGCCCTGTCACTTTCCATCTGGGTAAGTTCTGGAGAGTATTTCAACCCAAGTCTCAATTCACTCCTTATGAGAAAAGATACTGTCTTTTCTGACTTGACTTTACAGGGTTGATATAAGGATGGAATCTGATCCCGTTCATGGAATGCTTGGTAAAGGCAAAGCATTACACAGATGCAGGTTGGAATTAATATCCTTGCCGTCAGCATCTTGTCCCTCCCTTTCACCTAGAACCCCATTAAACATCCCTTCCAGTCTTAAAAATACAGTAGGTTTCTGCTAGAGTTTTCAACATCTTCCTTCCCTCCCCCTTCATTCTGTCCCATTCTGTCACCCAATATGGAGTGCAGTGGCATCTCATTCTGTCACCCAAGAGGGAGTGCAGGGGCTCATTCCGTCACCCAGACAATCATCACAAAGCAAAGTCTGAGCCCACTCCCAACCCTTGCGGGACATTGAAGAAGACAGTTTGTAGGCCCTGATGTTACATTTTCTCTGAGAGTCACAAATCAAGTCAAGGAGTCAAGTTATATCTTCCAAGAAAAAAAAATGCCAATAAATGTTAGATAAATATTAAGACAAATGTCAGATAAGTAGTTCTTTTCTGATTTCTTTGGGATTATAATCCTGATTACGTACCATTTCTGGGCATTATTTTGTTTTATAAAGATATACCTAAGTATGTGTACATATGCTATTTATGTGATATGATTTGATTGCATTCAATGGTGGACTACTCACCAAGCAAGCCTGCCCTAGTCTGTTTGTGGAACTGGTGACTCAGATTGTAATCAGATTCCTCCTCTGCCTCATAGGATGACCTCTCAGAGGTTCCTTATACTATTTTGGCTCAGTTTTCTCATATGTGAATTGGGAATAATTACTTTGTAATGTTTTCTATTAGAGAATGATCTTAAAAGATTCTCAGCTGAAACTATTTCTAATAAACACTGCAATTACTAACCCTGTAGACTCAATGATATAATCAGAATTGATGAATATATATTATTTTCTGAGAATATTTTTTCTGCATTTTCCTTAATGTTCATATAAAATGTATCATAAAAAGACTTCTATTTTTTTTTTTTTTTTTTTTACTGTTGCTAAAGAAAAACTGCTTAAGCTGGGCATGGTGGCTTATACCAGTACTCCTAGCACTCTGGGAGCTTGAGGCAGGATTGCCTGAGTTCAGGAAAGACCAGCCTGAATAAGAGTGAGACCCTGTATCTACTAAAAATAAAAAAACTAGCCGGAAGTGGGGGTGGGCACCTGTAGTCTCTGCTATTTGAGAGGCTGAGAAAAGAGGATTCCTTGAGCCCAGGAGTCTGAGGTTGCTGTGAGCTATGATGATACCACTGCACTCTACCCAAGGTGACAGAGTGAAACTCGGTCTCAAAAAACTAAGAATAAATGTTTAAGTTAAACATTTACAAATTCACCACAATAGAGTAGAAAGGATTTTAAATAAAATAGTCATGGCTTCTAATACCTATCAGTACTGATTATTAACTTTGTGACCTCTGACAAGTTACTTAATCTCTCTGAGGTGAAGATTCCTTTATCTCTATGATAAAAATAATGGGTTCTACTTCCTGGCGTTGGTTTGAGGATTTTAAAAAAAGGATTATGTGTGTGAAGGGGAGATTATGTCATATACCTGGTCTCCCCAAAAAGTTATATGACTCCTTCCTTTAAAAAAAAAAAGTGTCTCAGTGCCTGTAGCTCAGTGGCTAGGGCACCAGCCACCTACACCAGAGCTGGTGAGTTCAAATCCAGCCCAGACCTGCCAAACAACCATGACAATTACAAAGAAAAATAGCTGGGCGTTGTGTCAGGCGCCTGTAGTCCCAGCTACTCGGGAGGCTGAGGCAAGAGAATCACTAGCCCCAGAATTTGAGGTTGCTGGGGGCTGTGATGCCATGGCACTCTACCCAGAGCAATAGCTCGAGACTCTGTCTTAAATAAAATAAAATAAAAATAAAACATAAAAATAAACTGGGCATTTTGGTGGGCACCTGTAGTCCCAGCTACTTGGGAAGCTGAGGCAAAAGAAATGTTTGAGCCTAGGTGTTTAAAGTTGTTGTGAGCTATGACGCCACAGCACTCTACCAAAGCCAACCAAGTGAGACTCTGTCTCCAAAAAAAAAGTGTTGCTAACAGCCTAAAAGTCTTAGGTTTAAACCAAAGGTTGACTATTTCTAGAAATATTTTTAGAATAATGCACATAATCAAGATATAGTTATAAAATTTGATAAAAACTAAGAAGTCTCGGTGCCCATACTCAGTGGTTAGGGTGTGGGCCACATACACAGGGCTGGCAGTGGGTTCAAACCTGACCCGGGCCTGCTACACAACAATGACAACTGCAAAAAAAAAAAAGTAGCTGTGTATTGTGGCTGGCCCCTGTAGTCCCAGCTACTTGGGAGACTGAGGCGAGAGAATCGCTTAAGCCCAAGACCTAACGTTGCTGTAAGCTGTGATGCCACAGCACTCTACTGAGGGGGACATAGTAAAACTCTGCCTCAAAAAAAAAATTAATAAAAACTAAGAAATATTATTGTTATGTTGTTAAATAAAAACATAAAATATTAGTTTATTTGAATGAAAGTGTTTTATCTGAGATGTTAAAATAAATATTTAAAATAATATAGCCAATTATAAAAAATTTTCTAATTTATATAGTGCTAGGAAGGCCTTTGATCATATGAATTTCTGAATCAGAGATTTGGTTTGAATCACAGCTATATTTTGGAACAATAATAATATCTCTCTAACAGTTGTTAAGAGGATTGAAAGAAGTATGCAAAGAACCTGGCACATATATTAAAATACATTTCTCTTAATGTTGTTCATACTTTTGCTAATTTCATAATAGTACATGTTAAGATCAAATGAAAACAAATAGTACTCCAAATGACCAGACTAATAAACTGCCATATGTATTCTACCTATATATGGAGAGACTGTATATATAGTAAAATCATACTTTATAAATCCTGGGCTGCTATAACATCAGGAAAGCCAAACTGTTCAGGAAACGTAATGCCTGCTTCAAGGTTTTTTAAAGAAGGCTGCATTACTCTTTCGGTTTTTCTGCACATGGCTTTCGGTTGCCTTTTTAGCTAGTGACCCTGGATTTTAAGTAATGAACTCCAGCTGTTCTTATTTTGCCTCCCAGCCCTTCTCATTTAACCTCCTGTCTCCCTGATCTCACATCCTTAAAGTTCTTACAGGAAAAAATGGGACAGTGCCAAAGTTTTCAAATGAAGCCTCATACCTTCTTGAGGAGAGAAGGCTCCTCTAACAAGGGCTCCAAGCTTTTGCACCAGTGGAAAAAGAAACATTCATTGTTGGAAATTGGATGCCTAACAACCTCCAACGTGTCAAAAATCCTTTTGTGGTTTTTAATATTCTACAAGCAAAGCATTCAGTAAGGTAAGTCCATAAAAGAAACCAAGAAAGTCCACAGTTGAATACTAAATATAATCTGTAAACACCTGTGATGGGGAGGCAATTCCTTGGTAAATATGCAATGAAAGAAACATTTAGCAAACAGAATAAAAGGACCCAGCTTTTCTGAACCATGCTGAGAACCATCTGTTAGCAAAACTGGCAAAAGGTTTCACTGTCACAGTTAAATGTCAACCTGAAAAAACTTGGCTGTGGGCAAAATCTGAGCAAAGCCAACCTTAAGGAATAGGCAAACTCAAGCTCACAAAGGAGACCCTCCCTTTGTGGGGGTGACCTGGGGGTTTCTCTTATGTTCAGAAATACTCTTCAACCTCTACACTTATCTCTTTCCAGATCTGATCATCCTTTCATGGGGACCACTAATAAGTATGTTAGTAAATGTAGCTTCCATTATATTAAACACTTAAAAACCATGCTTTCCCCCAGAATGCACCTGATCCTACCAGGATGAATCTCCAGTTAAACTGATAGCATTTGGCTCTACCACTTAAATTCAAAATTACTTATTTCCCAGGGGCTCTGAAAGATGTTTGGAAGCAGCATCAAATTCAGTTATAAACTCATTTTCTGAATTGCTTTTTCCATGCCTGTTTGCATAACTTATCCTTCCAAGCTCAGTTCAAAACTTAGGGACTCCATTAGCCACGCTGAGACTAACTCGTTCTCATCTTAGTTTACAATGTGTTTTATACGCTGGTAAATGGAATCGTCTGTCCTGTTAAGATTGAAAATGACAGAACAAAGATTGGAGCTTTCTCTTTCTTCAAACACCCAGCAATATGTTTTGCATATAAAATGTGCTCAGTAAAGAAGGGAAGTAGTTAAAAGGGGGTGAAAGTAAAGCCAGAGAAGTAGCATTTTCTCTGGGTTTCTGCTGAAATGATAGCAGTCCTATCGTCTTATTTCCAGTGGCTCATGTAATAAAGGTTGGTAAATTGTATTTTTAGTCATTCGTTTTCACTATATTGACTTCTTGATTTTTATATTATAAATTAGTCATCTTGATGGTGAACAACACATCAACGACGGAAAGAAGAATAGAATAATAGCTAACATTGTTGAAGTCTAAAAATGGATTCTGTGATAAATGATTTATATGCATATTTTCATTTAATCCTCATAATGGCCCCATGAAAGAGGTACTATTATACTATTGTCCTCTTTCTGCAATAAACTAAGCCTTAGACAGGTAAAGTAGTCTACCCCACGTCACACCACTAGTAATGACAGACCTTTGATGCTAATATTCCAAGTCTGTGTGACATTTGGTTCCTCACCCATTTGCTATATAGGTAGACCCTGAGTTACAAACATCTGACTTACATACAATTCGCACTTATGAACTGAAGCTATTATAGTAAGTTCCCAAGTTACAAACATCTGACCTGTGTATGACTCGCACTTACAAACAGAGGCTATTATAGATAAGAGGTAATATAAGTGTTCCAACTTACATACAAACTCGACTTAAAAGCAAACCTACAGAACCTATCTTGTTCATAACTTGGGGACTGCCTATACTGCTCAGGACACAGAGAAGAATATAGGTACAACACTAAAACTATCTGCCTTCCTGAAATTTATAAAGTGTCTTCTGAACGGCACGTTATCATCAGGAAAATTTCCCACTAAAACTGCGTGTGATTACATGTTTTTCTCTTTCATAAGAATTTTATGGGGTTATACAGATATGGCCTTAACACCCAGTGTGAGGACAAACACATGAAACATATTAGTAATTGCTCATTGAGTTCATAGTTTTAGTCAA